AAATCGAACAACACAATTTAAAAATGGGCCAAAGACCTTAGCAGACATTTCACCAGAGAAGCTGTACAGAAGGCAAGTAAGATAGGAAAAGATGCTTCACATCATATGTCATCAGGGAAATAAAAATTAAGGCAACAATGAAATGTCGCTACACATCTAGTAGAATGACCCAGATCCAGAACACTGACAACACCAAATGCTGACGAGGATGTGGAACATAAGGAACTCTCTCTCTCTCATTCATTGCTGGTGGGAATGCAAAATGGTGTCTCCCCTTTGGAAAACATTGTGACAGTTTCTTACAAACTCAATATACTCTTACCATACGATCCAGGAATCGTGCTCATTTGTATCTACCAAAAGTAGTTGAAAACTTAGGTCACACAGAAATCTGGCCATGGATGTTTACAGCACCTTTATGTGCTAATGCCAAAACTTGGGTTTGACTTTTCAGATATGGCACCAGAAAGAAAAAAAGAAGAACGAAGAAGGGAAGAAAAGGGTAAATTGGACTTTATTAAAACTAAAAACTTCTGCTCTGCCAAAAAAACACTGTTAAGAGAACAAAAATACAAGCCACAGATGGGAAGAAAATCTTTGTAAAAGACATATCTGATAAAGGACTCCTATCTAAAATATACAAAGAACTCTTAAAATTCAACAATAAAACAAGCAACCCAATTTTAAGATGGGCAAAGGATATTAATAGACACATCACTGAAAAAGATACACAGATGGCAGATAAGCATATAAAAAGATGCTCAACATTGTAAGTCACTGTGGATTGCAAATTGAAATAAAATGATGTTACCACTACACGCCTATAGGAGGGTTAAATTCAAAACATGGAAAACGCCAAATACTGCTGAGGACATGGCAGCAACAGGAACTCTGGTTTGTTGCTAGTAGAAATGAAAATGATGCAGCCACTTTGGGAGAAGTTTTGGCAGTTCCTTATAAAATGAAGCATACTTTTACCATATGATCCATCAATTGCTTTTCTTGATATTTACTCAAATGAGTAGAAAACTGTCTACACAAAAACTTGCACACAAATGTTTACAGAAGCTTCATTTATAATTGCTAAAACTTGAAAGTGACCAAGATGTTCTTTAGTAGGAAAATAGAGAAATAAACTGTGGTTATATCCACATCTGTATAATGGAATATTGTTCAGTGATAAAAAGATATGAGCCAGCAAGCCATAAAAAGACGTAGAAGAAGCTTAAATGCATATTGCTAAGTGAAAAAAACCAAGTTGAAAAGACTACATGCTGTATGATTTATACATACTATATGACATCCTGGAAAAGGCAAAACTAGGGGAACAGTAAAAAGATCAGTGGCTGTCAGAGACTGTAGGTGGAGGACTGAGTAGGTGGAACACAGGAGATCTTGACAGGGTGTCATAGTGAACACGTCCCCATACATTTGTCTAAACCCAGAGACTGTGCAACACCAGGAGTGAACCCTCATGTAAACTATGGACTTTTGTTGATTACCTTGTGTCAATATTGGCTCATCAAATGTAACAGATATACCATACTAATGCAAAACGTTAAATACAGAAGAAAGTAGGTGGGGTGAACAACTGAGACTACAGGAACTCTCTGCAAGCTGCACTCAATTTTTCTATAAACCTAAAACTGCTCTAAAAACAGTCCATTAATTGAAATAAATAAGTAAATCTAGTTCTATGGTCCACAGTTTACTCCAAAATATAACCCAATTGTGTTAAAAATAAATATTTAAAAGTCAAATATAAGAAGCATTAAAGCATTAGAAAACATTAGCTTTTACAAACCTGACACTAAAGAAAAAATGTGAAATAAAGTATATGATAAATTTTCATACATGAAGATTTTGTTTCTGAAGCAATTTTCCACAAGAAAAAAACCTGCCAAAACACAAATAAAAACACGTTCAAATCCAAAGTTAACAAAGAAATGCAAAATAAAACAAAGCATTATATTTCTCTTATAAACTTAGCAGAAAATTTTTTTGAATTTTTATTTTAAGTATGTGGGGTACAATTCAGGGTTAGGTATGACAATCAATGTACATTATGCAGGTACCCTTGTAGAAATTTAAAATAATGTAAATATTCAGTGCTGGCTAGGTGACAGGAAAATAAATAATAAACTGATAAGTTTATTTGACAGAGGAAAGTCTGTCAGTAAATATCAACATCCTAAAAACAGTTCATTTCTTCTGACTCGGCAATTTCTCTTCTGAATTATTTGTGGACAAACAAAAACATGTGGTTTTTTTTGTTTGTTTCTTTGAGTCGGAGCCTCACTCTGTCGCCCAGGCTGGAGTGCAGTGGCATGCTCATGGACACTGCAGCCTCGACCTGCTGGGCTCAGGCGGTCCTTCTGCCTCTGCCTTCCAAATAGTTGGAACTTCAGGAGCGACACTATGCCTGGCTAATCTTTCTTGATTTATTGTAGAGACAATGTCTCACCAAGTTGCTCAGGCTGGTTTCCAACCCTTAGGCTCAGGCAATCCTCTCGCCTGGGCCTCCTAAAACGCTGGGCTTACAGGCGTGAGACACCGTGCCCTGCCAAAAACACATGTTCTCTAAAGTTATGGTACATTTACACTGAACAAGCCATGACAACCTACTCTCTGTTGCACATCCAGAGATGTATGTCAAAACATCCCAACAGGTGGCACACCACTATAATTTTGTAAGGCATAAGTGTGTGTCTGTGTGTGCATGTGTATATGTTTGTTTGTGGTATCAAAGCCTGGAAGGATTTACACTGAAATGTTAAAACTCAGGGTTTTTTGATGGCTATATTTATAATTTTCTTACCAGACTGGGTTGTTTTTTTTTTTATTATTGTTGTTGTTGTTGTTTTGCTTCTATATTGAACATGAATTACTTGTGGAAAGAATAAAGCGGCACTTCCCACCAAAAAGATCCTTTGGCGGCAGGGAGGCAGAGTCAGGGTAACCATCCCCAGTGCTGTCGTCACAGTCCAAGGAAGCAGATCTTGGCGGGGACAGAAGCGATGGGAGGGCCTGAGTCGGCCTTGGCCTTCGGCCCCATGGAGGAGCCGGGAGGCGTCTGCAGAGGCCCGTGGCCGCGGGGGGCGCGGTGACCCTGCCTCCTCCCTGAGTTGCTCACTCGCTCGGTGCCCTTTGCCCCGGTGGCGCGTGGGGCCGCAGAGGCTTCCCGGGCCTTCCATCCCTCCTACCCCGAGCCTCTAGCCCAGGCCCGGCTCCCCAGGACCCAGCCTCTTGCCCTGGGCCGAGCTGCGCCGCCCCGCAGGGACAGCAGCTCTGGCCCTTTGTTCGGGCGCTCTGTCCTGTGGCGCACGGAGAGAGGCTCCAGCTGTGGGACAGGGGCCCGGCGTCCAGCCGCAAGGCGTCCCACCCCCCGCTGCCCTTTGGAGGGCCCCAGGCTGACCCTGCTCCCGCAGTCAGTCGCTCTGCCCGGCCCCGGCGGGGAGGACACCTCGTCCCCCCACAGAAGGGGTCCCTCTGGGGTCCTGCTCGACCCGCGGCCGCTCCCGCCGCCCGGGGGACCGGCCGCCGCCCAG